ATCCATGGCGCTCTGGCGCCGTCGTTTTGTTGAGGAAAAATTTATAAAAAATTTTTTTTACACTTCAATGTATAGAGAATAATAAGGATTAAACAGATTTTCATTTACGTTTATTATATTTCTGAAAAAAAATCACCGAAAATTGGCTTTGTTTAGGCTCTAGAGTGTTGTAATCCCTTAATATTAGAAAGTGAATTCCTTCACAATTGAACTAAATAATTAATCCGAAATTTGAAAAGAAGTTCTGATGATTGAGTGACGAATATATATATATATATATATATATATATACTTTCTTATCTTTGTTAGTTGCAATAACGATTGAAGTGAAGTTGAGTCTTGATTATTTAGTCGTTGGATCTTTGGGTCGTAGGTCTCCATATCAGATTTGATATGTATATCAGTTCATGTATAATATATGTGATATATTGCTAGGTCCAGACGGTCTAGGTATTATGAAAAGGTATTATAAAAAGTCTAGGTATTAAAAAAGATGCTATTGTAAATAAATTTATTTGTCGTCTACGTCAGTGTACATTAAGATATTTAATTGAATTTATTTACATTGTAAAAAACATGTTTTTAACTGTGCGACGGTTATTATTAATTTGAAAATCCTTTTAATTAGCTTGATAAGGTGTCAGTTATTAGATCGTTACAAATACGAACGTATTTGTTCACTTTATTAAGCGAACAGTTCAGTGAGCAGAGACTCATAGGAAGTATGCAGGAATTAACTCATGAAACCCAAATTATAAAGTGTTTAAAATGCAAATTGATTTCCATTTGAAAGTGGAGTCGTGGGAGAACCTTGACCCGATACTCGATTGAACTTGGGCCTCATCGAGATCATAAATAGTGGAAATGAAATGCGCATGAAAAATGTAAAATCGCTTGCAGAATAATCATAATTGATTTTATAAGAAGCGCTATTATATTCTGACGTCACTGTAATGTCATCAGCTGACGTTAATGATAACATTCTTTATAAATAACATATAAATAGAATGAAATTTCCCATGGAAATGTAGTTTCATCAGATTCTTGCATCTTTTAATGCTTTGAAATTTAACGCTTAATGTATCGTTGAGGTATTCATCATTCTGTAAAACACAAAAATGCAATAACTAATAAACCTTTATTGCACGTGAAGAGTGAATTGTCGGTACGGTAATACATGATATGTAAATATATATTCTGTAAAAAAATTTAATACAGAATTGGTCATTATTAAAATAGTTGTACTGGAATACTTACGCGGTACGCCGTAAAAAGTATAATTTACAAACAAAATACGCTGGTTTCTACTACTTTGATGCGCGTGAGAGAGTTTGATAAGAATTCAGAAATACGCGAACTTTATTTTAAATGCTTGACATGTTAATTAACATATTTATTAACGCGCTTTCGATTAATCGCGCTAAAGCCGAAATGCGAGTAAAAACGATGGAAATATATTTTTAAAATATGTCAAGTATACAATAGTATTATCTAAAAATAAAATAGACGTAGGAATTTGATATGTTTTTCCTCGACGTCAGAGATAGTAGCGAAGTATGTGAACGATCTGTCTTCATAATAAAATCTAACAGGCAATACGGTAGCTCGCGTGATACGATCTGACGTTATCTTACTTACTGAAACAGTGGTCGAAGCAGGCGGTAATGACTGGCGACTAATTGCGCGATTAAAATTCAGGCACGTACCATCGAGTTCTTCGGAGAATATTCCAACGCGGGATTTTTTTTTGACTTACGTGGATTAAGTTTAATGAAAAAGACAGTTAAGAGTGTATCATATTTCTACGAAGAAGCGTCTAACAAGCAATTTTCCCAACGGAGTTCATGCGATTAGTTCGAAAAAGATTTTACTATCATATCGTTCATTAATTTTAATTCAGTCATAAAAATCACTTGGTGAACACTATTTAATCTTGCGCTATAAATGGCAGACGATATATTCCTATGAGGATGTTTAACTTCGGTTGCATCACGAGTACGATAAGATAAAATTGATTATAAATTTACAAGTTTGTATATGTGTTTGTACATAGCTATAACTGTCGGAAGATAAATCGGAGCTGTTGACAATCGCAGTGCAGCTTCAATTTTCATAAACAACGCGCCAATTATCGTAAATATATCGTAAATATTTGTGCAATTATAATGACGTACGACATTTAATGTTTCAGCCTTTTCTGGTGTTGCCAAACGCAACACAATAGACTAGTTCATTTCATTTATTGTTATCTTCGTTGTCCCACAGTTGACATTTCTCTCACAGCGCGATAGTTCCGGCACTGCGACTGGTAGGAGTTCCACAAATTTATTTCCTCGAATTTCTGGTTGGCGTCTTACAGACGTCTAATTTCCTAGATCCTTTTATCCGCAAGTGCTCCAAGTGCCGAGAGCCGCGGAACAAAGCTGCAATTAACTAATGCAAAAATGATATATCGCGGTCGGCCGTCTCGCGAATGAAAGGGGGCTAGCAGGGGCGGACGGGCCACCAGACGAAAAAATTCGGAATATTTATGCTCGGTATTATTAGCGCACGTCGGCGATATCTCGGTGGGCATCGCTAATTAGCCCGCGCGAACGGCGCGGGCCTTTCGGCAAACAGTGCCGGCTACTGTCTTCGAAGGTTCTTCCCCGGGCGCAATCAAGATGGTGGCGCCAACCACCCGGCGAAGTCGATTCCGAAACTAATTGCCACGGCTAATTTATCCCAACGACATATACGCACAGAGACGCCATTCTCGGATACCGCGTAATCGCGCTCGCGTAATCGCCGCTCCGCGTACGCCGAGGAGATCCGCGCGGACGACTCGCTCGATGTAGATGCTCAAACTTAGACGCGGGCACACTTCGGATCGATCTCGGTATGGCTGTATTATTGTCCGCGATTGAACGAGGTAGATGACTTCCGTCACACAATTATACGCCCGATGTTTCATTATCGATATTTTCCTGTTCGCGACATCTTGATGATAATTCGATAAAAGACTCTGTTACGAAGTAACTCACAAAATTGCGGTTGGAATTGTTCGAGAACGGAAATTAAAATTGTTGAAATTGGCAATCCGTGAGTGATATTTTAAAACTGAAACCGAATAAGTAATATGAATTTATTTAACCATTTTATCTGTAATTGATACTCTATTTTTTGTCAAAATTTAATGCAACGTAAATTTTTTAGGATTATTTGGACATAGATAACATAATTGAAATATCAATAATTGTCTATTTAATGTCGCTGATGCGTATAATTGGTGCGAGACATTGTCTCTGGATAAATAAAAATTTAACTCTAAAAAAAATTAATTTCGAAAATGTTAAAAATATCTCAAACAAATATTCTTCTTTTCTGTCGATTGTAATACTGAAATTTAATTCCATTCCCATAGGAAAAAGCATTTAGTACATGTAACATATTAATTCAAATTTTAATTTTTATGCATTTATGTTTTCAATTGAGACTTACTTTATAAAAGAAAGGATCTTAGGCAGTGAGGGGAATAAATTGTGCTCTGCTTACGATAATACAATTTATTAAATAAATTCTCCTGATCGTCATTACGTTCGCTTTACATTTATACAAAATTGGAAAAAGAATTTTCTTCGCATTACCGAGATTCATTCGTTTTTATTATTCGCATGCGGCGATGCAAATGCAACCCCATTTCTCGAATAGCCACTAGGTATTTATGTACAAAGTAAATAACGCGCGGTGCAAGAGTAGTATTTACAGTTCTATTTACAACAATTTTCAGCCTTTTCAAGGCAGGCGACATTGGCACAGACGAATTTTTCAACAAACTCTCGTGAGCCTTCACTTCTTTAAACTAATACTGGAAAGTATAAAGCCAATGGCGATATCTCTCTCTCTCTCTCTCTCTCTCTCTCCCTCTCTCTCTCCCTC